GAATTAAAGAGAAGAAATTGGATGCAATGTAAAATCAGGAAATGAAAATTTTACCAGGTGTACCCCCTGTTCCTTCCAGCAGGCAGCTCTGACCTCTTTTCTGCCTATGCTCCAAGGAGCCTTCAGTGTAGCCTGAGGGGGGTTCTGGGGTGCAGGTCAGATTGCCAGACAAGTGATCATGGGAAGAAGAAATGCTGAACTTCCCCCTCAGTCCCAGAGAGTGCAAGGGGGAAGTCAGTAAGGAAGGAGAACAAGTAAAATGTGCTGCGGTGTTACTTTAAGTAGTAATGGAGATAGCAGAGGGTATGCTACAGCTGTTTCTGTATGCATTTTGGTAGGATTCTTTGAAGGAAGCAACATGTATTTTCTTGGGAGATTTCCAGCTTTGCAGCCCAGGAGGACCCTCAGCTCTACTAAAGAATTTCAAGTGACTTCTGGATTTTTTATTTTCATCCTAGAAGCTTGCTTCATAGTTTCCCTTAATTTAATAAAGGAGCGTCATAGTTTGCTCTGCCTTCTTAATTTTTTTTGAAAGTAAACATAAATTGTATAGAGAAAGCTTCGGATGCCAATAAAAATAATATATATTATTTTGTATGTTTGAAATATAAGCAATGAATTCAAGTTTCTAAAGTTATGAAAGCGTCTACATCGAGAAGTCATCTTCTCACTCACTCCTGGCCTCTTAGCCAGAGGTCCTTTCCCCATAATCTGTTACCTTTACCAGGTTTCTGTGTACCTCACCAGACATATTTTATAACTAAATATGTAAATATCAACTAAAATGTACAGCTACTGAACCTAGCCCCTTATAAGCATTTATGGTATATTTTGGAGTTTGTTCCTTGCCAGTACATACAGAGCTATTTATTTTAGTGAGTACATTGTATGCATATTCCCTTGTAGAAGATGATCTTTAACATTCCATTCCATATGAAGTTAAGGACTTAGCATCATTCATATTTATTGGTTATTTAATCTTATTTATCATAATTAATAGTTTGTGAATATACAACCTCCCTTGATATTTATTTATTTATTTATTTATTTATTTATTTATTTGGTTGAACTGGGGATTGAACTCTTGCCCTGGTGCTTGCCAGGGAAGCGCTTATTCCACTGAGCCATCTCCCCGGCCCCGCTCCTCTGATATTTAAATTGCTATCTTACATTATTTCAAACTTTGCTAAAAATACATATATAGTATGCTCATGTGTAACTGTAAATGCAGAAAGTTTGCTAGGTTGAACTGTGTGTATGTTTGTATTTTTTAATTTATATGTTTCAGGTGTACAAAACACTTGTCATAAACATAGTAAAATGGTAACTATAGTCAAGAAAATGAAGATATCCAATATCTCACACTGTTACCTGTGTGTGTGTGTGTGTGTGTGTGTGTGTGTGTGTGTGTGGTGAGAGAATCTAAAATCCACTCTGAGCAGATCTGCAGGATGCTGTACAGTATTACTAACTGTAGTCTGTGGGGTCCCTGGTCCGTTACTCATCCTCTGTGACCATATACTGTTGTCCCCTTCCACCTCTCCATTTCCCCTGGCTTTCCTCCATTGTAATTTTGGCTGAGGTTGCTGAAATCATTGTCTTCACCTACATGTTCCCCACTCCGTATCATCAGCACTATATTTTTATTAAATTTTTTATATTAACAAATCTAATAGCTGAAAAATACTATTCTTTGCTATCATAACTTGCATTTCTTTAATTTGTTAGTTCATTTTTTCCACATGAATAAAAGCATTTTTTATGTTACATATGTTATTGCCCTGTAAGGTAAACCAAGTTACAATACAAATTCAAGACCATGAAAAGAACACACAAACATAATTTTACAGAGAATACAATTATTCATTCTCATTTACATAACAATCAATCATGTAATAAATACTGTGTCTTTCTATATGCGCCAGTTTTTTTTTTTTTTTTCACTTTTCTATGTGCTTAGAATAAACCACTAGAGAAGTCAGGAAAAGCCCTCTGACCTCGTGATGATCATATTCTTGTAAAGGAAGACAAATACTAATAAGAATTAATAAGTTACTTAACATGTTAAAACTAAGATAACACATCTGGAGTGTGAGGAGAGGAGGAGTCAATTAGCTCTCTTTGAGAAATAGAGAAGTGACTGAGTCTCGAGGCTGGAGAAGGGTAAGCCAACCAGGTAGTTCGGAAAAGAATATTCCTGCAAAGGAAATAGCCAGTGGGAAGGCCTAACAAGGCAGGGTGCCTCCTGTGTTTGAAGCATAGTCAGGATGCTGGGATAGCTCCGATGAGGTGAGCGAGGAGAGGAGCAGGAGGCAAGCCCAGAGTAGGGAAGGTGTCAGGTTGCGTGCAGCCTTGTGGACCACGTAAGAACACTGACTTGTGCTTATTTATGTGCACTGCATATTTATGTGTTTTTGAAGTACAGAAGGAATACATTTGATACATATGCATGACATACTTCAGTTATTTTTATATCCCCTTTCTCTTCCCCTTCCCTCCATCCCTTGGTCCCTTTCAATTTGCAAAAGATGTCTCTCCCTGTTTCCTATTATCTGTGTCTTGATTTCTTCAGACGTTTGTTTGCTATGAGCCACCTTTTTCCCCTTTTTCTGGTTTTCAGCCTTATTCATTACGTGGGCTTGGGGCTTGGGGATGTTGGGAGTGAATCTAGGCTTCACACATGCTAGGTAAGGGCTTCACTCCTTAGCTACACTGTGAGTCCTAGCTTTATTGTTGTTTGTCTTGTGTGTGTGTGTGTGTGTGTGTGTGCCCCAGGAATCCAACTCAGGACCTTGCATTTTCCAGGCAGACACTTGTGCCACTGAGCTGTCTCCGTGGCAGTCTAGTTGTATTCTTATCAACAGCAGCCCTTATAAAAGATTATCCTATTTCGTTTGTGAATTAAAGAACACCCCCTCATTCTTTGCTTATCTTTATGTTTGTGGCAGAACTTTTATTTTAAAGGGCTGTAACTTTTGCTTTTAATGGGTCAAGATTATCAGTCTTGCTTCATGCCATGCACTGGAAGGCCTGTGATAAGCACAGGTCAGTGTTCTTACATGGTCCACAAGGCCGCGTGCACCTGGTATCTTCCCTACTCTGCCCTCGCCTCCTGTTTCTCTCTCCTCGCTCACCTCATCTAGTACTTACTAAACAACTTCAGCACCTTTATTTCCATCTCCTCTCCTTTGTGATTTGTTCTGCAGCTTTTCCCATTTGTCCACAGACTGCATTATGGTGTGCTTTAATATCTGGGAGAGCTAGTTCCCTCATAGCCTTTCACAGAAGTACCAGCCTCCCTGTGTGAACTTAGAATTAACTTGTCTAATAACTCCAGCAATTAAAAAACAAAACAAGAGTTTTTGGACTTACAACTACATTAAATCATATAGATATCCCTTGGAATTTCCACCTTTTAGATGTTGAATATTATTCTGTGAGGAATCTTTCATTGGTTTAACTGTTCTGTTGCACTTAACATTTTTTTCAAATACATTTTATCTATTTCTTAAGATTTTCATGGTATCCTACCCTTTTCCTCTTTTAAAAAACATAAGAACTATTATATTTAAAATAGGAATTTGAAAACTTTTGGGTTTTTTTGTTTGTTTGTTTGGTTGGTTTTGGGTTGTTTGTTTGTTTGTTTGTTTGTTTGTTTGTTTTGTTGGAACCAGGAATTGAACTCAGGCCCTTGAGCTTGCCAGGCAAGCACTTATTCTACTGAGCCATCTCCCCCGCCCTAGCCTTTCTTGTTTTTATATGGGTTAGAATACTATGAATATTATTTAAATTATTCTTTAAATTTTTTCACAATTTTCTCTCTGGACCATCTAGTCCTGTTGTTTTGTTTTGGGGTGTGTGTGTATGTGTGTGTGTACTTATTTATTTCATCTGTAGTATTAACCTATTTAGATTTCTGCCCTTTGCCTTGGTCAGAATGTGGCTCCTTAAGTCTGTGTTACATAGTGCTTACTGAACAACTTCAGCTCATGTGGCTTAAGAGGCTAGGTCAGTTTTTACAAGAGTGGCAGCTCTTTCCCTGGATTGTGTTTCCTGGTGTTCGTCATTTACATGTGCCCTGTGTATTTATCTCCTGAGGATCCTCCCTCAGTACAAGCATGTGCCACCACACTTGGCTCATTTATTCATGTATATTAAAGGATAGAATGTTACATAATTATCTAGATTTGACTGAGTGAGATTCAAGGACAGGCCAAAAATATGATGTATGTTTAAATAAAATTTATTACAGTAAAGGACACAGTGCCACTGATTCTGTTTAGAATATTCCATGGCACTTCGAACATATATACTGTATCATTCTTGCCACTTTCTGAATCGGTTCATTTTTGTGTTTTCATGAGGTGTAATCAAAAATTAGTGAATGCCATTGCCAAATGGCATCCAATAGAAAGACAGCTTATCCGATTATTACTGACATGGCCTCATCCAGCTGACTCACTGGGTCTGGCATTGTGTGATTTCTGGCTCTTCTCAAAATGACCATGAAAGGCTACTGTTTGGAATCAGTTCATAGTGAGGCAGCCAGGATAGCACAACTAAAGACTCCTGAGAGAACACTTCCAGAACTGCCTCATAAGATGGAAGGAACAGTGGGATGAAGGTGTTCCAGCAAGGAGCATGAGTATTTGGAGGGGGGTTGTTGGCAATGTGTCTTTACTGTAATAAAAAATTTAATTATGAACATTGATTGCATTTTTCCATCACACTGCATAATTTTTCAAGTGAGTAAAATGTTCCCCTTCTGTGGCCAGATAGACAAATTTAAGAATTTTAACAGTCCTTCTGCTTTCTGTATCCTAAGTGTTCCCAAATTTGGCTAGGAAATACAAATTGTAATGCTGTATTAATAGAGGTAAAAAAAATGACAATGTTGATCTAAATTTAGATTATAATATTAAGAAAGACAATATTTATGATAAGATTGTTCTAAGTATGTTGAAGACTTACTGACAAAATATTCTTTCCTTTTCTTGTAGATTTGTCTAAAAACAGACTGGTTGAAGTTCCAATAGAATTGTGCCATTTTGTATCACTGGAAATTCTTAATCTGTATCATAATTGTATCAGAGTCATTCCTGAAGCTATCATTAATCTTCAGATGCTGACCTACTTAAACTTGAGGTATGTAAAGTATAATAATTGTAATCAGATACAGTGATGAAATACCAGATAATTAGACCTTTATGTCTATCATTTTTTTCCACTTTGCAATTCTTGATCACTTGTTGAAGTAAATCACACATAGATCATTAAAGAAATATGTTTTGTAAAAAATTTGTACTATCTTTAGGAGTTGTTCTTGGTGCTAGACTTAATCTGACTATAAATATGGCAAGATTTTAAAAAAATTGTTTACATGACATCATTTATATTCTCTAATTTGTGTGTGTATCTGATACGTATACTAAACTTAGGTGTTCACATACATTCAGGGGAAAGGAAGGGAAAAAATTGAGAGTTGGAATGAAAGGCCTTACTGGCCTTTAGGGCTTTGCATACCTTTGGCCTTTGCTCCCCAGGGCTGATTGAAGCCGTTCTCCTTAGGCCATCTTAAGGAGGGCGAGTAGGGGAACTGAGTTACTCCAGCCCAACAGAAAGCTCACTGTCTGTACAGCCTATTAAATCCGATCAGTATTTGCTGAGGACAGCATGATGGTACAGGTTGAGTAACAGATTATGAATAACAGAAGGTGAGATATTATTGCTTTCAGGTATCCCTGAAGTTAGGAAAATTCTTTATTTTAAGGCCTTGATTTTCGATTTTGCAGCTGTTTTGGCGAGGGTCTGGCTCTTGGGTCACTTAAATCCTTACCTCACAAATCAGGGATTTCAGGCAAGAGGAGTTTCTGCCTCTATTGTAGAAGCAAGTTTCTAGTTCATGTCACTTGCAGGTTCTCTTGTGTGGGACCTGATTAGCTAGGCTTGTGCTGTGTAACAAGTATACCCAATTTTCAAGGTCAAAATTACCAATTGAACCACATAAACACACTTTATAATAGATGATAGTGCCCGTGGGATATTTTACTTTTTAGTTGGCTACTGAGAATTATGGTCCTTCTCCTACTGACTTTGTAGCCAAACAAAAGTTGCTATTATGTTTCATAGAACTCCATGTTTTTCATCAAGGTCCAAGTTTGTGAACATGTTTATAAGTGGATTTAATTTCTGTTTGGTAAATGAGATCGAGGGTTACTGTAAACTCATTCGAATCACTTTTAAGTTCATCTGTCAGCTCTTCACTTCTAAGATTTGTAATTTCATCTGACACAAATTTTCTTGCCATTTCTTTTTAATTTTTTGTTATTAGTACACATTTATGGCAAATGATGTCTGCATCCCTCTTATGTATGAAGTTGGCCCATGTACATGATACATTTTACTTGCTTGTTTCCTCCTGCTCCCTCCCATCTTTCCCTCCCTTCATGTCTTGATCTCTTTCTCATTTGAGAAAGATGTTTACCTACTTCCTATCATCTCACTTTTAATTTGCTCTTTATTTACAGCTTGGGTTTCTCATATAAGAAAAATCATGTGATACTTAAATATGTGTCTGATTTTTTTTTCACTTAATATTATGGTCTCAGATTATATCTTATTTCCCTACAACTGACCCAAATTTATCTTTCTTTGTGGCAGAATAATACTACGTTGTGTACAAATGTCACACTTCCTTTATCCATTCAGCTGTTGGTGGACGTATAGGCTGCTTCTGAGATTTAACTACTGTGAGTTGCGTTGCTATACACATGAGCATGCATGTGTCCCTGTAATATGATGTCCTCAACTCTTTCAGAAAGACTCCTAGAAGGGAAATAACTGGATCAAACGGAGCGTCTAGTTTTGCTATTTTGAGGACTATGTATACTGATTTCTGCAGTGGTTGTACTACTTTACATTAACACCAACAGTGTCGGAGGTTCCTTTTTCCCCTGTAGTCTCACCAGTGTTTGTTACTCTCTGCCACAGCAGGATGTTAGCTATTTTAGGACTGCCTAATGGAGCCAGCATAGTTGTGTCTGTAAGTTTAGGTTCAGTATTTCCCTGAGACAGTTTTCCTCTAACCCAACCACAAAGGGGAACCATTCCAAATGCATATGCAGTTGGTCTGTTTACTTACCCTCTGTGGGCCTTCTGTTACATTTTTACTTGGGTTGGTCCTAAGTGCAATAAGTAAATAGATTAACTTTACATTATATTAAGTCCAGCTACACTGAAAAATTTTTGGATATAGGTGGCATTTTTCTCCCGGGATACCATAGACTATAAAAATTCTAAAAATACTTGTTAATCTAATCTTACTATCTTTTAAGACATTAGTAAAGTTGATTTCCTCAGATGATTTTCATGTTGCACTTTTCTAAGAGTAGATAGTTGTGTTTATTTTAGATGGATGCAAATTTAGATTGTGGTTCTCAAAATTGTCTATGACAAGGACAGAAAGAAGCAGAGAGAATCTTTCATGATGGCTGGAGCGACCTATATGATGCATTAAAGGCAGAGTTTTGTGATTAATTCCTAGGTAATAGAAAAGAGAGGAATAAAGGGACAGTTAAGCACCCAACTCTTTAAGTTTTGCTGTCTGTCAATTCCTTCATTTCAGGCTTTCCTTCCTCTTTTTCCATTTGGTTTGGCCTTTTTTTGGTTTTGTTCTGTTTTTCTTTGTTCACATTTCCTTCTTTCAGCATTACCATGTATGAGACTTTGCTTGTTGAAGAAATTTGATAACTAAATGGAAAAAAAATCAAGAGAAGATAGTCTTTTTACTCCCAGAAATATGTTACAAGGGTATATGAAAAATGTGTGGACAGCCTCTAAACATTTTGAAAGCCAGATGATAATTACTTTAAATACCATTTAGAAAATTTGCTCTCTGGATATAGATGCATAAAGACAAAATAATAACAAGGGCAAGTCTTAAAGCCATCAAAATATAATAATTTTGTACTGTTCAGTTACATGTCCTTTAGTTGACCCATGTTCTCTGGGAATTAAACCTTTGAAACTGAGTTCATTCTCTATTTGAGAGTGACCTCAGATAGAACACAATAGAACCCTTGATTAAAATATTTATTTGTAGCTTGTAAAATAGCAGATAACTATCAACAACTGTGTTCTTGCAAATATATAATAGTATCTGGATAATATTAATGGCATCTAATTAAATTGTCTGATCTTCTAGGATAGTGATGTCATCCACGCAGCAGTGTTGTTCTGGTGAGGTCTTTGCTGTCCACACAATGTCAGTGTCCTGGGGCTGGGGATCAGTAAAATAAGCACTTCCCTGGCAAGTGCAAAGGCCTGAATGAAATCCCCAGTTCCGCAAAAAAAAAAAAAAAAAAAAAAAAAGTCAGTGTCCTTGCTATTCCTACCCTGGTCACTAGGAAGAGCTTAGAATATCCCAAGTGTGTGATCACGACATACATTTCTCCAACAAGAACAGACATTGTTCACTGTGATCTCTTATGACATTCATGAATATTGTTAGGTCAGCAAAATAACTGTACTACTTGTGCATGGTGAAGGATAGATATGGTGGATGCAGATGACTTTTGGCCTAGAAAAAGGGTGCTTAACCAGCCTAAGGATGCTGCAGACACTTGGTCTTGTGAAGAGCTACTCGAGTTATCATCAATCAATCCACTTCGTTTTCTGTAATTGTTACAAATACTAAAGAAACCTTATACTATTTATGATAGAATTACACTCATATAAGCCAAGCTTGACATTGTTATTAATTTAGATATATTGTGGAATGAATTTTAAAATTAAACAATTAAGGAAGACTGTGTCAAATGTAGCACATTCTGAAAGAGCTTTAACAAATATATAACTTCATCCAACTATAAAGAACTCAATCATTTTCTTATCTATAGCATTTAAGATTTTTTTGTCTTATTTCTAGCAACTAGGAAGAATTGTTAGAATCATGAAAGAAGAGATTTCCTGAGTTTCTTACAGATTTCACATTTCTATACTTAGAATTAAACATGGTCTGACTGTATTTGTTATTGTTGTTTTTACCATGCTGAAGATCAAACCCAGGACATGGCAGATATAAATCATGTACTCTGAATTACATCGTCAACCCATCTACAAATTTTCCTCCTTACTAAATCACATGTGGAAATATTATACATCCCAAAGTAGGAGTGATGCCTTATAAATATACATTGAATTTATGGAAAACTTTCAAACTTGATTGCAGTCTCTGGATATATTACATACTCCATGATAAACAGCCATAAATGTTCAATGGTGATGGTGCTGATATAGGTGACGACGGAACCCATGGTGTTAAGGGTGTGTCACTGTGAGTTCTGAGCTGACATGTTCTCTTAGCGATGTCATCTCTAAACATCAGATACAGCAGCTTCTTGATGCTGAGCCTCATTCAAGTCTTAGAGATTAGAGATGTATTTAATTAGTACATGAAAAAAATCTTCACAGTGAAATGCAGTTAAAAACACTGAAGGTTTTCCACATTTTTTCACAGGATGGAAGTGTTTTATGTTTGCGGAAAGTACTGATTTATTGCTGTTTATGTAGCCTGTGCTTGAAGGAGCTAGGCTTTTAATCTTTGCTTCTTGGTGTTCACAACAAAAGGTTATGTTAGTTTAGTATATGTGCCACTGTGCCTCTTCCTGTTATAAAATATCTTAATCCAAGAAATTTGGCCAAGAGCTATAAAAAGGATTAAGCAAGACTTGTTCCTATATAAGAACAAACATGAACCTAAAAACACACAGCAAAGGCTTACAAAGTTTTAAATCTATTTTAAGGTGTTGGAAAGGTGATTGTTACGAGGCTCATGAAGTGCCTTAGGATAAGAGAATAACCCGGAGCAGCAAAACTCTTGGCAACGGTTGGCGTGTTGTTAACCTAAGAATAGGGACCTTGGCACGAAATGCTTATCTCAGAGCTTCAGGAACAAAAGTGCCAAAAAATGAAAGTTCTTCTCAGCATTTAAACAGAGTGCTTCCAGAGCTGTGACAAGCAGTTTTATTTTCTTAGGGGGAGTACTCCCCACCAAGCCTGGCCTGTTCATCAGACTCCCTTGTGTGTCCAGGCTACTTGGAGTAGGTTTTGAGGCATTGCTTGTAAAGAAGGCAGTCCCTTGCACA